AGGCACTTACACCCCTGAGATACCGAATTGCTGCTGCAACTACATGCAGCTCTGGTTACCACCACCACCCAGCTGCTCTTACTGATTCTGTGGACTATCATTTTTCTCCTGGATCAGTTGGATGGGAATAAGTTTAAAGTCATCTTTTGATCTCTACTATATTCCATGGTCTTGTTCTAGTCATAGCACAACTGAGACAGAAAATGTGCCATTGTCTGAACAATAATGAAACACTAAACACGTGGAAATCCTATTAGTGTTTCATGGACCGTAGCTGTCATTTCATTTGCTCTGGAATTCCTTCCATACGGTCATGACAAAGGTTTAAGGTTGAGTTTCTTGACACTTTGAATGCATTAGCTGTTGCTCAGACAAAAGTCTGTCAAGCATACTGAAGCATCTAAAGGGATGTATTTCTTTCTGTAAGTAATATATTAAATAGAATTAGTGTTGGTAAGCTTGGTCTTGAGAGAGAAAAGCACAGTACTAGAATTTTGTGGGGTTTTCTTTCCTGGTGAATGTTAGACAAATGTATCTGTTTTTTGTAAACTTCTCTTTTTCTGCTTCTGGTTTTTGTATCTCCTCATTCTAAACAAGTCTGCCCTAAATCTCTTTCTCAATTGTAATTTTTCAGAAGTTTATATACTTTGCAATTAATTTTTCCATGTATAAATATACACAATATGATAGCATTAACTTACCGTAATTATAAACTGTGTAGTTAATGTAATTTCCATGAGTAATAAAAGTGCCATCTGTGTATTTCTCATGTAATAGAAAACCAAGCTGAGAAGTTACTGTTCTCGTTAATTTTCCTCCCTACCCCTGGTGATGTTTGTCATTCTTGTCTGTGTTTTTTGTTAAACTGATCACTCTGGGTTTTTTGAGACAAAGTTACTGGAGCTGCATATTTTTGCATCAAATCATCAGATAAAAGATGTCCTTTTGTATCCAGTGTAAGCATTTGACATAGGGAAGAAGTGAAGGAGGGCAGTATCAGTGTTATTTACCACACAGTTCTTGATGTGCACTTACAACACTGGTGTGTTTACAGGAAGGCATGAGTGGTTCTTGTATGTCTTATTGGTTCCTATTATATTCCATTTGTTCTTTCTGTCTTGGAAATTCACAGTGATAGAGTACCAATTGTTTGCCCATATATAATCCAATTTAGTTATTATGTAGTACTGTCCAATTTCTGCAGAAAGAAGAGAAATATAAGTATTATTCTTGAAAACAGTGAAAAAGGATCATTCAGTTAGAGGTTTGCTAATGATGAGAAACGGATAAATTCAGGAAAAACAGCAAAATTAGGCATACTTGCTAACAATAAGAAATGAAGAAAATGGTTTCCAAGATCTGAATATAATCCATATCATTGAAACAAAGTGGAGGCAAATAAGACAGGCAAAAAAACTGTTTTTTTTTTTAAAAAAGTCATATGTACATCTGTTTTGTAATTGGACCTGAAAGTTTTTACTATCTGATTAATGAAAAACCTTAGGAATTCTTCTTGAAGGGTTTTCTTCACAGGTTTGATGGTTATGAATTGCAGTGGCAGATCTGCAATTCTGCTAGGCAAAAGACCAACATTGTTCATACTGATATCCAGTCCAAATGTGTTTCTCCCGTACATCATTTATGTGGGTTAAATTCTGTTGGAAGAATGCTTTTAATGGATAATGATCTTCTGGCTTTATGCAAACATTGTTGATAACTGTTGTGGTAGTAATCGAGAAAGGCGAGTCATTTCTAGTTTCAGAGTAAAGCATTTTCTAATTGGTGTCTTCGTATCTATGGTCCCTTGTGTTCTAGTCAGGATGAACTGCAAATCTTTCAGTGCAGTGTAATTTCTGGTATTTCAATGACTATGGGAAAAGCATTTTACTTGTCTTATTCAATGATTAATTGTTGCATTTTTCATTTAACTAACTGTCACTTATAAAAAGTCATATGTCTTTTCAGAGTTATCTGTTCATAGAACATGAACATTTTTACAAGAAAAGTAATTTCCTTGCAGTGTTGCATTTTTTCCCCCATAGTTCTTCCGTCTTTATTTTGGCACTTCCATCTATGTTCACCAGTTTCCTTACATTGTTTTTCTGTCAGGGCCTGCAATTGCTCAGTTAAATTTGTGTGAGATTTGTCTATAGCTATTTTGAATCCATGAAGAGATCCTGTCTCTCTTGTAAGCTAATGTATCTTTCTGTCTTTCACACAAAGTCATGTTGTTATATGAAATAGTGGCACAGGAACTTACTTCTTGTGCTTTTAGTTTGCTCTTGTGAATTGTGATCTGGTAAACAGTGAGGAGGCAAACCTGGGATTTTTGCTGTCTAAATAGTCATTTAATAATATGAAGTTCATAAGCATAATATGTGTTATTTCACTTACTTGCATTTCTGCTTTGTAAGTTAATTTGTAAATCAATTTAATATTTAGATTTGCATTAAACGAAAACATTTACAGATTTTCCACTTACTTATCACAAATTCCTTTGCATTTCTGAAATACAGGTGCCACAGTGAGTCGGTTAGAAATGGCATGGGTTTTGTTTTCAAATAGTACTTTTCAACTTCATGCATAGCAGAGCTGTTGTCCAGCTTTGTAAATTTTAGGTGGCTGCTAAAGCTGGATCCAAGGGCTCTGGACGGTAGGAGGCAAAGTTAAAGCCTCTGTACTGGTACAAACAGTTGAGGGTGTAAAGGTAGCAGATTTGTGGTTTTGGAAATGACATCACTGTGCACAGGAGGCTGTGGTTCTCTCTTCTCATGTCTTCTGCAAAAGTGACTGGCAAATATATTCTTCAGTGTCATCTTGGTAGCTAAAATCATGCACACAGTAATTAGAACTTTACTGAGCATAAAAAGGAGGCTGAATAAATGCTGCATGCTTTTTGGTGTTCTGAAGCCATTTCTGAAATTCCTTAACCAGTGATGAAACACAGAACAAAACAGATACATGCTTTGAAAAGAAGGTCCACAGAGGGATTTATATTTCCTTTCTTCCCCATGTTCCAACTACTCTCCTTTATGAAATGACTGGTTTATAGACTTCAGAGGGAAAGACATTTCTCTGAAGTTGCACATATATGACTAAAAGCAAAATGGGACTGCACAAGCCAAGCGATGATTCACAAGAAAGTTACCTGTCAAAGGAGTGCTTATAGCTGAGGCAGGCGCCCCTTAGACTTCTCCAAATTGCTTGGCAAACCCTGTAGCCAACAAAAGTGCTAAACTAACAGTGGTGTGGAGGCTCTTAGCTGACTGAGGTGTAAGTGAGTGTTATGAGTTGCTCGTAATTGCTGGAGATTTAATACCAAGTTAATTCAAAACTGTTGAAACACCTTAACTAGTGACTCATGGTCACTTCTGACTTAACTAATTTTGTATTCTGTTATCCATTCTTCACACCAAGATATCCTTGAAACTCGTTCAATGCAGTGGCTTTCCTGTACAATCCAAAGCATTTTGTTACTTGCAGAACTATTTCTTTCATACTGTGTGTAGAATATAGGATGTAAATAATGCTTTCCTCTCATATAATTAGGATGTTAAGTCTCAACTAAAGAAAAAAGCCTACATTGATTTTTTCTTTGCATGTGATTCTCTTTACAACTCTTAAAACACATTCCTAAGGGTGCCTTGGAGTTTTTTCACGTGTAGAGGAAAATTGTTTCATAGCCAATAGCTGTTCTCCCAAAATAGTCTAAATAGATAGGGGGAAAAGAAAAAAATCAATGCACCCAAATAAGGTCATCTGCTCGCAGTGATTAGGACACAGAAATAGTCCTTTTCAAAGAGGTAGAATGTAGCACAAGTTATTTTGATGGATTACAACGATCTGAACTAATTTTGCTAATGTAAACATTGGTGTGAAATGACTGCAGTCCCATCCATACTGCATTCAAACAAAGGTAGACACATTTCAGTCTGGATTAAATAAAATGTTGTCTGTTTCTAATGTGGTTTGGCTAGCCGGTGAAAACAATAGCATTTTGACCTGTTTGAAAGGCAGGTTCTAGTGGACAACAGAAAATGTTTATCCAGCATGGTTTCTCTATGTTTGCTCTGATCAATGCTAGCTGAGCATGTTGTGACAGAAACCCCTTTTTTCTGCATTCAGGCATAAACACTGTTTGCAAATTTCTTTCAAAGAACTTTTTATTTGGCCTAAGTCTTGGGTCTTGATGTAATCATCTGTCCTGAACATTGTCTCTCGTTGTCCTGGAAATAATTATTTCCAGCATTTTCTAAGCAAAACAGAAAACAAAGAACTCCTAGATAGACCAGGCACCTTTTCTGTATTGCTTTTCTGCTGATCTTGTCTTTATTTAATAGACTGTGTTTTCTTGAGTTCTTCAAAATATTTCTCATCACTTGCCCTCAGAACTGACCTGGTGACCTGAGAATCAAGAAAATGTCATGTTAGTGACTACTAATTAGTGGATCCAGAGAGCTGCTTCTCCTGGCCTTTCAACCTTCCAGAGGCAGAAACAAAAGCTGTCACATGTATCATACAAAGAAAACAAGCATTTACCATGTTTGTTGTTTGTTTTTTTTTTCCTAGGGTGTAGATAGTAGCACAAGCTCAATTGAGACTACAGATGAATTTGTAGGTTAGGAGGAAATTAACCTGTGATATAGTGTTTGCATTTATTTATTTCTCCTTTTCCATGCATAACATACTGCATCTGTTATCCAGTTCTTACTGATCACGTGTGAGTGTGTTAGTATGCCATATTGTAACAGGAGAAAAAGAATGAATCTTTATTTCTTTTCTCTTTTTTTTTTTGTTTTTACCATGCTTTGTTTTAATCTTTTTTTTTAACTACTTCAAAATGTATTAAATATTTCTGAAAGGAAATATTTTAATGCTTAGCAGTATACATTCCAAGCTTAACTTGTCTTTTTGTATGTTTGTTGAACAAACTTGTCAACAGAAGATTCAGCCATGCTTCCCATTAATCACTGTTGTACTTCTACGCCTTGTGAGTCATCATGGGTTTTTTGGGACCACCTACTGGAATGACCATGGTAAAACGTGCAGTCACAGCCATGTCACAGAACTGTTTGTGCAAGTACATTAATCTCCTTTTTATTATTTATAATTTTCAGGTCTTTAAAATAGAGGTGCTAATGAGTGGAAGGAAACATTTTGTGGAGAAGAGGTATAGTGAATTCCATGCACTTCATAAAAAGGTAGTGATCTCTTTCTTTATAAGATGTAACTTTGTTTTGCCTTAGTTGTGATGATTTCCTCTCTTGAAGTTGTTACTATAAATGGTTTATCTTAAATAAATCTTGTGATTCATGTCTCTGGAAATGAGTTCCCAACTAACTCACTTTCTTCTCTATTTTGTGGAAAGGGATGATGACTTCTCAGATGTTACTAACTCCACTTTTCTTTTTGGTTATTGTTTATGTGCTGTATTGCTAAAATGCTGTCTGTAGTATGTTTTTTTCCTTCTTGTAAAATCACAAAATAAGACACATTCCTATAGCAAATAAATACGTTTTTGGTTTTTGTCCAATTAGGCAAATAATTTTTTAGTTCTATAAATTGTATTGCTAACCTGTAAAGCTGAGGAAACAAATTGTATACACCAGGAAAATAGACATGAAAAAGACTGAGTAGACCATCTCGCTCTGCTGCTCTTCATACAGTGAATGTGATATTTTATATCTGCTAAGCTTGTCTTACTAATATATAGAAGGGAACTCAGTACTTTCAAGATTGGTTATCCACTAATTATTCTTTAAATTATTTTGATCACTGTTAAAGGAAAAGTATGATTTCTCCTCCCCAGGGTGAACTGGATGCTGCTATACAGTTGTGCAGCTGAACGGCAAGTTTTACATTTTTTTCTGCCTTATGGAGGCCAAGTATTGTGAAGTAGAATTCTGGAAAAGCATTGCAACCTGTTACCAGTGGTGGGGCTGCAATGAAGAGCTTCAGTCCTTTGTTCCTAGTTCCTGGATCAACTGAACATTTGTTGGTTTGTAGCTCTCAGTGGCAGTGGAGTGTGTGCACACTCAACTGCTTTGACTGGTGCTGCTTGCCTTCAGTACAGAAAAGCTTCCTCTGCAAATGGCGGAGAGGAGCACAGGCATTTACAGCTCCTGCCACTGCAGTGTCAAAGGAGCTTACTCACACAGGCGTGTTTGCTGGTGACCCTGAATCAGCTCAGGAATCATCTCATTCAGGGAAGAAGCATTATCCTGGTGGCAGAGAGGATGGATTTTGTCAGCCTTATATAGTGTATGGATATAAGCAAACTTGGGTCAATGAAAGGCAACTATTGACCCATCTGTGTGTTGGCCCTCGAAAGTCCAAAGAATAAGAATATGTTTTGCTTTACTGCACTGTAATTAAGACGTACTAGTACTTCTTGCCTTTTTGTTTCTTGCCCCAGTTGTGGTATCAGCTGCCACTTTTTAATACTCATTTCCTTGTTTATTGTTTTAATTCAGATATGTCTCAGATATTTTCCTCCTGTGTTCACACTGAATGTGACACCACATGAGCAAGTGTCAGAATCAGTAGTATAACTCACTCACCCACCATCATGCCTTGTACTACGTGTGCTTTATTTTACACAGGAGAATAATCCTGCAATTGAAAGTAAAGCAGGTGAGTAGAGGTTATAAAACTAAATAAGTTAGGAAACATTAAGAGGGGAAAATCAGGATTTATATGCTTAAAATGCAGACCATCTCCTCTAGTTAGAATAGAATATATTTTCAGTTGCAGGGGACCTACAACGATTGTCTAGTCCAACTCCCTGACCCCTTCAGGGCTGACCAAAAGTTAAAGCATGTTATAAAGGGCATTGTCCAAATGCCTCTTAAACACTGACAGGCTTGGCTCATCGTCTACCTCTCTAGGAAGCCTGTTCCACTGTTTGAGCACCCTCTCAGTAAAGAAATGCTTCCTCATGTCAAGTCTGACCCTCCCCTGGCACAGCTTTGAACCATTCCCAGGTGTCCTGTCACTGGATACCAGAGAGTAGAGCTCAGCACCTCCCTCTCCACTTCCCCTCCTCAGGAAGCTGTAGAGAGCAATGAGGTGGCCCCTCAGCCTCTTTTTCTCCAAATTAGACATACCCAAAGTCCTTAGCTGCTCCTCACAGGACATGTCTTCCAGCCCTTTCACCAGCTTTGTTGCCTTCATCTGGACACATTCATGGACCTTCACATCCTTCTTAAATTGTGGGGCCCAGAACTGCACACAGTACTCCAGGTGAGGCCTCACCAACGCTGAATGCAGCGGGACAATCATCTCTTTTGACCATCTGGCTGTGCTGTGTGTGATGCTCCCCAGGATGCCATTTGCCCTCTTGGCTGCCAGGGCACGCTGCTGACTCATGGTGAGCCTGCTGTTTGGACTTGTTAAATTTCATCCCATTAATCATTGCCCAATGCTCCAATCTATCTAGATCCCCCTGCAAGGCCTCCTGTCCCTCCAGAGAGTCAACAGCACCTTCCAGTTTAGTATCATCAGCAAACTTGATAATGGTGCGTTCTACTCTGCATCCAGATCATTGACAAATATATTGAACAGAACTGGCCCTAGGATTGAGCCCTAAAGAACACCACTGGTGACTGGTCGCCAGCCAGATGTAGCCCTGTTCACTACAGCCCTTTGAGCTCTGCCTTCCAGCCAGTTCTTCACCCAGCACACCATGTACCTGCTATCCCACAGTTGGACAACTTGTCCAGAAGGATGCGGTGAGGGACAGTATCAAAACCCTTACTAAAATCCAGAAAAACTATATACACTGCCTTCCCTTCATCCACTAGGTGGGTGACCTTATCATAGAAGGATATCAAATTAGTTAAACAGGACTTTCCCTTTGTGAACCCATGTCGCCTGTGCCCGATGATTGAATTGTTCTTTAAATGCCTTTCAGTAGCACCCGGTGTGATCTTCTCCATAATTTTTCCAGGAACTGAGGTTAGACTAACAGGTCTGTAGTTCTCTGGGTCTTCCCTCACACCCTTCCTGTAAATTGGAGTAACACTGACTAGCTTCCAGTCATCAGGGACCTCCTCAGACTCCCAAGGTCTTTGGTAGATGATTGAGAGGGGTCCTGCCATAACATCCTCTAGCTCCTTCAGTACTCTGGGATGAATCCCGTCAGGCCCCATGGTCTTGTGAACATGCAGCTGGTACAGATGGTGCCTTACAATTTCAGTGTCCACAGATGGAAAGTCACTGTTTGCACACTCATGGTCCTGTGACTCAGGGGACCAGGCAGCCCAAGGTCTCTCAGTATTATTAAAGACTGAGGCAAAAAAAGCATTTAATACCTCCGCTTTTTCTTCTTCCCTTTGTTGCTGTCTAATTTCACTGTAATTTCTGGAGTTGCACAATTACTCCATATGAAAGTCACGAATGACTGCAGTCTGGCTCTCAGATTTGTCTCCTTGTACACTGCTTCCTCTGCAGTAACTCGCTTTGCAGAGATTTCTCCTTAGAACACCAGAAAAAACATAAATGATAGTCCTTTTGTCTCTCTGCAGAAACAGCAGCAAAATAAACAAACCTGAAAAAGAGGTATTCTAACCAGACACTTTGCACCACTCTTCAATTTGTTTCATCCTGCTCCTCATCTGTTTGCTGTCTGTTTATATTACTCTGCAAACTTGGTGGTGACTTTTTCTTATTTGTTCCCTGTACAGATGCACAGCACCCAGCATATTTTGGCAACAATATACCTCCTTTCTTAAGTTTTACTTTTTGAAGTTGTAGTAAAATTTCAGTAAACATGGTTGAACAGCTTGTGCTCTGAACCTTTCCTAGAGCTTTCAGTGTTACAGAAATCCTGGGGAAAGCATCCTCTGGTAATAACAGTATGTGGTTTCACCCTTTCTTTTCTTCTCTGTTTTGTGTTAGAGCAGAAAATCTCAAAGCTCTTAAAAAAGTAGGGTGTGTGTTTGTTTTTTACAGGAGAATAATATTTTGAACTTGTATCTCAGTTGTTCTTTTTGGACAATTTGTTCACATCCCGTGACACTATTTATACTCAGGTCCAGATACCAGTTTGCTTTCAGCATGCCAATAGGGTATTTATTTTTTGTTCCTGTCTTCCCCTGTAATTTAAAATGTAAGTTTCACTCTAAATTGCTGTGAGTACATGGCAATTGGAAAGGTATCTTTAGACTTCCTGCATATCCAAGGTGCCCTTAGTGCTGAAGATGTCTGTAGTGAGCAGGAGAAAGAAAGCTTCTGTAGAGAACAACCGTGGTAGAAAATGGGAATAGAGGCTGAAGGGGAGATGATGGTGCCTTTCACTGGAGAAGGGCATGCTCCACTGGCATTGTATGGAGGAAGGAGGACTCCATTGCTCATATAGGGTATTATTAATTCATCAGAATGCCAATTAATGTTTTGATTTTTTGTTGTTGTTGTTGTTAAACAAAGCCATTTCCAAGAACATGGCTGGATGTGTTTCCTTCCTGGGTTCAACCTTTCTCACATTCCAGTTGTGTAAAAAAGTAAAGCCCCACTTCCTGTGCAATCTGGCTGTAGTGGAAAATGTTCAAACTCTTTTCAAGACTACCGTGCTACACCAGGAGTGCAAATTATTCCCTTGACAGAAAACATGCACTGCTGTTGGCTTTTTTGAAATAGTTTGCATAGGCCATTATACTTTGACCTGGTTATGAATGACAAACCAGGCCTTTCAGGCTATGCACCATTCACATTGCAGTATTGTATTCAAGTCTGAACAAAAGTTTTGTTATTTTCATATGGAGAGTTTTTTAGAAAGAATTACATTCTTTCTATGTGTATAACATAGTTAAAAATGCAACCATTTATTCGTATTTATTCCCTAATTCTTTTTTATACTTTTTTTCTTTACATTTTTAAATATTGGTAGTTCTTTTTAAGCACCAGAATGCCAGAAGGTGACAGTGTTAAAACTGCTGCAGTGAAATCTGCACAAATCTTAAGTTCCATACATCTTGCTTTGCAAGTTATTTGTAATTTCAGAATAATTAGTGTACGCTCTAAATCATACTGACTTTTCACACTTGAACAAATAATTCTTCACTTGATAATCTGAGCCATCATTTAGTCTTGCAGGAAATAGAGTCTACAGTGTGTCAAACAGGGATTAGGTCAGTGTATGGACAGGAAGGTATTAAAGACAACAGTTGTCCTCAGATAAATATTTCCTGTGTGGGGACAGGTCTGAAGCAATATAGCTAACACATACATAGATTTGCTTAAGATTCTTTGACATTGTAATAATTATTTGTTGCAATATGTTCTTGGATTATTGTAAGCACAAGAAAGTGGGTTTATCATTTATTCTTTGTACCTCTGTATAGCATGTGCTTTATACCTACACACAGTACCTATGCTTGCACATTTAAGCAATTGTTTGTTGGATGCTTTATATAACAGGGCCACAGAGCACAAAAGGATTGTTAATCATCAGCTGAGGTACCAGCCACAGAGTATTTATCTTGTAAGCGGCTAGGCCTTGGTGGGCATTCATATTGTTTCAGATTTGTCTCCCCTCATCTGGAGCATTGTCCTCATTTGTTACTCATCTGCAGGTGCTGTCATAGTTCGCAACAGCTGTGACCATAGCTTCTTCAACATTCTTGACCAATTTAGAGGGAAAAATGAGGGTTTATATTCTGACTTTAAGATCAGTCAGTAAAAGTACATGGGTTTGGGGTTTTGTTTTGGTGGTTGTTTCTCTCACTTCACGTTTAATTGTAATTTAGCACTCTTAAGAAATAAGGAACTTGCAAAATGTTTCCAGAGCAATTGAGGTTTCCTTGCTGCAGCTTCGTTACTTGTGATTGTAGAGACGTTGATATGTTGGCACTGCTTTTTCCTATAGTGACATCTCAGCAAGCTCAAAGATGAAATGTAAATTCTCAGTCTCCCACGGGTATGCATGTCAAAGTCAATTTTGAGTTTCTTTCCTTGCCTTCCTTGCCTCGGATTTACTCAGAGGCAATATCCAACAGAAAGAATGTCTAATAGTCACCTTCTATTAAAATGCAATGGAATCTATTCCAGTTGTTATTTTTGCTCTGTAATTTTGAGGAAAACGTTAATATTCTTTGGTTTTGAAAAAATATGTTGCTTCAGCAAGAGGATTCTTACTGTTGTCAGAACGTATGTTTGTATCTGTCTATATACACTCGTGTATGCATATACACATTTCCGTATATATCTATAAAAGCTTTCCTGTGGGAATCTTTAGAGGAATAGTTATGGAGCTCTCTTGGAAATATATTCAGTGGCAATCTTGCTATTTCTCTGTGTGAGATATTAAACACAACTGTCAATCTGTTGGTGCAATTTGAGAGTGCAGATATTTTGCTGTCTTGATTGCCAGCTCTCCAGAGAAATGGTTAGATCTCCTCCCTGTACTTCTCTCACCTGTTCATAGTTGCCTAAATCTAGAGTTAGAAGTTGTCACAGTGTTTTGTCACCGCGCTTAACAAGGTCACATCTGGGTGCGTCACGGTGACGTTGTGAGGTATCATCCCAGGCTGACTAACAGGGAACTCATTTCAAGTATTCTCATGTAGTTGTTGCTGTTTTGTTTTAAGGCTGTTAGTCACAAGAAATTGTTAGTAGGCTTCCTCTTCAGGGCAGCTAGATGTGGAGATTTTTAACTGCAACCTGTAGGTATGAAGCCTGCTGTTATTTCAGTGAGCTGATGGTGAGTAACTTCATTGCTGTGTGTTGTCCTTTATGCATGGTTATTTTACCTGTACTGCTTCATCTCTAACATAAATGTGTTTACTTCAAAGGGATGCTATTATACTTTGTTTCTGTCTGTGTGTCTTTTCGGTTGCAGCTCAAGAAGTTCATAAGAACGCCAGAGATCCCTTCAAAGCATGTGAGAAACTGGGTCCCCAAGGTTCTGGAGCAACGACGGCAAGGCTTGGAGTTGTACTTGCAGGTGAGTCCCTCTTCAGCACTGTGAAAGTGAAAGCAGCATCCATTTTCAGAGTGGTAGTATCCAAAGCATTTGGAGATACGGCAGGTATGTTTTACTGATAGGCAATTTTAGAGGTGGGAAATGAACTGGGTACTTACCAGCAGTGATGATTCGTGTTCACTTAGCAAGACTAGCAGCTAGAAATCCAGACTGTTTTGCATTTTTTTCCTGATTCTGGCAAAAGCTGTTGTCCGACTTTGGGAAACCTACTGGTACCTCATTTTCTTGTGCCTAAAATGGGGAAAATAATGTTATTTTTTCCAAAGTTGTTCTGACTGTACCAATCAAAAGTGTTGCAGAAGAGATACAAGGAGGCTTTATTTAATTCACGTCCATTTAGACACACTAGGAAAGAATCAGCTCATCAAATTCATACCCGTTTACTGTACATGCATGGATCTGAATTGTTCATCTGGTTGAAGTAGGCACTTGTCATCCTATATTCATCTCAGTCGGTTTGGAAACTTGCATTTAAAGTCCCAGATTCTACGTATTTGGGTTCTGATTTTGCTACAGACTGTAAAAGGAGTGTTCAGGAATGACTTTGACATATAGACATCTAAATATACTAGTGATAAATCCTAGCCTTTTTTAATAAACGGAACTTCTACTCTTACCATGATTGCTTTAAAAATGCCCTGTAGTGTAGTTTCACAGCCGTTTCTCTGGTGACAAAGCCAGATTAAAGTGTTCCTCTAGACATGTTCCCAGTTCACTGCACCTTCAGCTGTACTGATGCAAGTGCTGTTTTATTGAAAGGGATCATAGAAATTATCTGAGTCAAAAAATAATTGTTTTGGGAGGAAGGCAAGAGTGAGAGTATTCTATTTTTAATCAGATCAGAGTAGTAAAAATTTCAGAGATCTGATTTATGTCATCATCCACAGTTGCAGTGGCACAACTGGAAAAATGGTGAACTGCAAGATAATGGACAGTGAGCTGCATTCATAGAAAATAGATGGTAACCTGCACCGCTCAGGAACCTCCCTGATTCTCAGGAAGGTTTGTAAAAGAAAACTGCTTAAGGAGGAGAATAAAATTATAGTGTGACATGAGACAGTATTACTTCTGGCATTAAACTTTTAAAAAGAAATTTGGAAATAAGGAGAAAAACACAGCTCAGATTTTGTTCTGAGATATATTGAGCATTTCAGGCAACATAGTTAATTTTTATTTTTTATTTTTAAATATTTAGTTAGTATTGTTAAATTGAAAAATTTAATCCTTTTTTCTTTCTTGCTCTATGATATTTATAGCATCTTTGGCATCTAAAAATTACATTTATTGTGTGGGTGAAAAAAATTGCTGTTGGAGAGACTTTGGTTTTGAAAAGGAATAGCGCCTTTTTGGTTTTGATGGCTGTTAGCACAGCTTGCTCCATCATCAGTATGTTTTTCTCTTACAGCCATTTGCTGTGAATTTTGTATTTTTTTCTGATTTTCATACAACTGTCTTTTGGAGAACATCGCTACTAAGGCAGATGTATCGATTTCTCTTACGAGGTGGATTTTGTTAAAAAAGATACAGGGATAAATTGGTTAGCACTTTTTAATTTCTGATAAACTTTGAAAGAACATCTCCCCCTACTGGAAGAGTTACTCAACTCTTGTTCTTGTACATTTAATTAACATTTCCCCTCTTCTGTCACCATTGGTTATCATAGGAACATGCAATGGTTTAGGTTGGAAGGGACTGCTGGACATCATCTGATTAAAACATGGCAAACCTCTAAGTTATATCCATACTAACGTGCATACTAAATTAAAACAAGAACAAAATTAATGTTCTTGTCAAAGTCAATAATTTCTGTTTCTGCTAACAGAAAGCAGAACTAATCATCAGTATAATTTTAACTTTAAAATCAGGCTCTCATTATTTTAAGACAATTAGAAGTTCATATTAAGGCACTTCAGTTATCAGAAGGTTTTTAATAGTGCCAAGCATTTTCCAAGACACTGTATAGGAATGTGCTACAATTTCAGAAGACATGATCAGTTTTTGATTTAATATCATGTATATAAAATATTGCAAGCATACTTTCAGGCGGTACTAATGGGAGTTCATCTGTAAGAGGAGCTTGGCTACTAGCATCACTAGTCAGTGGTGGTACTAGTAGCCAGCCATTTGTGCAGCTGGTAAACTATTATGGAGTCGTGGTAGTTGTTAACTGTTTTTTCACAGCCAGCCAGAATCTCATGCAGAGATTGAGCATTTACACAGATGTTGCATTCAAATAATTTGTTTTATGTGCTACATATTCGTTTCTCATTATTGCACTTTGTACCTTGAAAACATGTACAGGCAAGCAGTAATATGCCATGCAGACAGCAGTCAAATACGGACCTGTGTCTGACATGGGCTAATTGTACTGGCTTCTTAATATATTTTTAATTAAGTAGTCTTCTGAAGTTAAATGCAGATAAAAATAATTGCATGAAATTAGAATAGTAGAATCCGTCTGTATCAAGTACTAAAGAAAGCAAGAAATTCCCCTGTCTGAGCTGGAAGGTACTGCAGTTGCCAGTACCTTGTTACTTCTTTGTGACCTTTTCATGATGAAACCGCCCTCTTAAATAATTTCAGCACAGGTCGTTTGTTTCTTGGAGTGGATGGACAGAAGCTCAGAAACAATTCATTATATCTTTCTGAAGAATAGCAGAATTACAAATAAATCAAATATTATTAAATTGTGAGGTACAAATAGTAATTTTCTTAAATTTTTCAGAATCCACTGTCAGCTAATATTCATCAGATAGCTTATTTTTCTCTTGTTTTTGAAAGGCTGAGTGGGGATTTTTTCTTGTTATAATAGATCAATTTTCATGGAATTGTGAAAGAATGATTTATCTATCTATATTATTTTTAAGTGACTTTCATATTTTACAAGTTTGGCCGGAATTTACAACTTTCGTTTTTAATGCTATGGAACAATTGACAAGTAAGGACTAGTATGTGTAGTAATTCAACTGCATATATAATAATAATACAGAGCCCTTGTGAATACTGAGAACAATCAGCTGACTGACAAGAGGAAAGAAGTATTATGTTTAATTTATTAATGAGGAAACAGATGCAAAGATAAGTGAATGACAGAGTCTGGCCCCAAACATTAAGCAAAGCCTTCAGTCTCCCCTCTGTGCCTGGCAAAATTATGGAGAAGATTATTCTGAAAGACAACACAGTCATTGGTCCCAGCCAGCATGGGTTCACAAGGGGGAAGTCCTGCTTGACAGACTTGATTTCCTTCTATGACAAGGTTACCCACCTAGTTGTCCAGGATAAGCCCGTCGATGTAATCTTTTTGGACTTCAGTAAAGCCTTCAATACTGTCTCTCACAGTATCCTCCTGGACAAAATGCCCAGCATACAGCTGGATAAACACATAATGCAATGGGTGAGCAATTGGCTGATGGGTCGGGCTCAAAGGGTTATAGTAAATGGGGTTACATTGGGCTGGTAACCAGTCACTAGCGGGGTCCCACGGGGATCCATCTTGGGGCCAGTGCTCTTCAATATCTTCATAAATGACTTGGATGCAGGACTTGAAGGTTTGTTATCACAGTTTGCCGATGACACAAAATTGGGAGGAGCTGTTGACACTCTGGAGGGCAGAGAGGCCCTGCAGAGAGATCTGGACAAATTAGAGGGCTGGGCAATCACCAACCAGATGAAGTTTAACAAGGGCAAGTGCCGGATTTTGCACCTGGGACAGGGCGACCCTGGATGTACGTACAGACTGGGGAACGAGAGGCTGGAGAGCAGCCTTGCGGAGAGGGATCTGGGGTTCTGGTCAACAGCAAGTTGAACACGAGCCAACAGCGTGCCCTGGCAGCCAAGAGGGCCAACCGTGCCCTGGGGTGCATCAAGCACTGCATGGGTAGCCAGTCGAGGGAGGGGATTGTCCCGCTCTGCTCTGCACTGGTGAGGCCTCGTCTTGAGTGCTGTGTGCAGTTCTGGGCCCCACAGTACAAAAAGGATACGAAGCTACTAGAGAGTGTCCAGAGGGGAGTCACGAAGATAGTGAAGGGTTTAGAGGGGAAGCCATATGAGGAGCAGCTGAAGTCACTTGGTCTGTTCAGCCTGGAGAAGAGGAGACTGAGGGGAGACCTCATCGCAGTCTACAGCTTCCTCACAAGGGGAAGAGGAGGAGCAGGCGCTGATCTCTTCTCCCTGGCGACCAACAATAGAACCCGAGGGAACGGCAGAAGGATATGCCAGGGGAGGGTTAGGTTGGACATTAGGAAAAGGTTCTTCTATCTAAGTTTGCTGATGACACAAAATTGGGAGGAGCCGTGGACACTCTCAAGGGCAGAGAGGCCCTGCAGAGAGATCTAGACAAATTAGAGAGCTGGGCAATCACCAACCGTATGAAGTTTAACAAGGGCTAATGCCGAATTTTGCACCAGGGACAGGGCAACCCTGGATGTACATACAGACTGGGGAACAACAGGCTGGACAACAGCCCCGCAGAGAGGGATCTGGGGGTTCTGGTTGATGGCAAGTTGAACATGAGCCAACTGTGTGCCCTGGCAGCCAAGAGGGCCAACCATGTCCTGGGGTGCATCAAGCACAGTATTGCTAGCCGGTCAAGGGAGGTGATTGTCCCGCTCTGCTCTGCACTGGTGCGGCCTCATCTTGAGTTCTGTGCGCAGTTTTGGCTACCAAAGTACAAAACGGATACAAAGCTACTAGAGAGTGTCCAGAGGAGAGCCATGAAGATGGTGAAGGGTTTAGAGGGGAAGCCATACGAGGAGCAGCTGAAGTCACTTGGTCTGTTCAGCCTGGAGAAGAGCAGACTGAAGGGCGACCTCATCATGGTCTACAGCTTCCTCACAAGGGGAAGAAGAGGGGCAGGCACTGATCTCTTCTCCCTGGTGACCAATGATATAACCCAAGAGAAGGCAGGAAGATATGCCAGGGGAGAGTTAGGTTGGATATTAGGAAAAGGTTCTTCACCCAGA